AAAGAAATAAACAACATTTTGAACAAAAAGCTGAAAAAATATTATGAATTGGATTCAGAATGATAATCAAAACGTAGATAAAGTCGATCAACACCCCAAAGCTTGACAGTCACTACCTCTTCATTGATCGACATTTTATTCCATAATGTTACAGTTTTGATACTCTTTTATGTCTGATGATTGTGTTAGAATACACTTGGAAGCATCTGTTGTTTCGGTTTCTTCTTCACTTGTGTTTTTGGGAAATTCTGTACAGAAGATGTGTACTATCGCCCTCTACAGTATAACAATGAAAACACGGATTCTAGGAGCACAATTATAGCTAAAATATATTTCGACTTTTTCTAAGTATAAGTCAAGTATACTTAAATGTCATTTTAAGTATATTTCTGAGAAGTACATAAAGCCCATTTCTGAGAAGTACATAAAAAGTAGACTAAAAGTATGCTTTCCTATTTTTAGTTTAAAAGAAGTATTCTAATAGCACACTTGAATAAACTTCTTTTTCGTAAGGGTAGTCCTCAATTGCGAAGATAAAAAGGTATATCTCTCATTATTTGACATACAGTTCTTTAGTTAGTGTTTTTCACAAATTCACATCTTTTGATGATGCTGAGTTAATACAGTCACAATTATTTCCGACACTCCTACCTGAACAATCCCTCAGATAATAGCAGAAGCAATTTTTCAAATATTGGTTAAAATTACTGAACATTTAGGCTGAAAAAAGGAATGTTTGCTTATTGGTTTCTGTAATTACTTTTGTCTTTATGCAGACTTACCGTTGGTGAATCTCTCTGTGGAGCCTCAACCGGTCCTGGAGGGAAACCTGGTGAAGTTTCATTGCTCTGCCAAAGCTAATCCACCGGTCACCCAATACAAGTAAGACATCGAATGCAGTTGAAAGAAAAAATGCCAAATGTGACCCTGGACCACAAAACCAGTCATAAGGGTCAATTTTTCGAAATTGAGATTTATACATAATCTGAAAGCTGAATAAATAAGCATTCCATTGATGTATGGTTTGTTAGGATAGGATTATATTAGGATACATTTACGGTAGGAAATTTACAAAATATATTCTTGGAACATGATCTTTACTTAATATCCTAATGATTTTTGGCATAAAAGAAAAATCGATAATTTTGACCCATACAATGTATTATTGGCTATTGCTACAAATACTGTATATCCGTGCAACTTAAGACTGGTTTTGTGCTCCAGGGTCACAAATGATCCAATACTGGTGGCCTTTATTATACTGCATCCACTGAGGATGATTAGACAGAGCTAACTCTAATTCACGTTTTTCATCTGACTGGCACATCACTGTGTTGCAAAATCACTCTTGGCATTTAGTTGCAAATATTTTTAGAGCCGTCTCAAAGCTGAAATCCACTATCTTTGCTAGAATCCGTTCGCTATGTCTAAGCCAAGACCAGGATTGGGGCGCCACATCAGGCATTCAAATCAAAGCAGGGATGTGTCTATCTGACACACTGATCCAATATCCAAGAATAATGTTTCCTGTCCTCTTCAAACAGATGAGAATGAGGTTGAAATACAAGTTATTTATTTCCATGAGATGTAGCCTCGGCCTTGCGGAGGGCCAATAGTGAGGCGATTTGTTAGAACATGCTTTTCGGCGTGGGTTTTAAAACTAGGTAAAAAATAAGTGCAGTAAAATCAATAGTGAAGGGCATTGCACAGCGGTGGATCTTGATGCATGTTATGGAACGGATCCGTGATACAGTTGTAGGTGGGCAAACCGAGTTGTTTCTAGCTTTTGAAATGACAGATACCGGAATCAGACAAGCTTGTGTTTGATTGCCCATCAGGCTTTAGCTGAATGAAGACACATTGGCATTTTTGTTTGTTTTGTTTTAGTTTTTCCACACCTGAGCATCAGATATGAAGAGTGAAATGACTAGCTTCTGCTCAAAAGAACTATGACATGACTTAATGATTTACACAGAAATAATGGCATAATATCATGCTGAGTTTAAGGCAAGAAACATTTACAGACTGTGTTGACTTCAAGACGTCAAGTTACCTTGCCATATTACCTTGTTCCTTTCACCTACACATTATTGTCTCTTAATGGATATGCAATAGGACATACAGCTTCCAGAATCTTCATTATAAAGGACAGGAGCAATAGCATGCGCTTAAGTTGTAGCTGTACTTTATATAGTATACGGTTTATTGATCTTTGCATACTTTTCAAGTACTGAAAATGTCTTTCAGAACCTATTATATCTCACGTTAGTAGTCACTGTGCTACTATTTCTAGTTATGCAGTTGTCCATGGACATTTAGCTTTTTTTTTTAAACAATGTCCTTTATATGATAGATTTGTTTTGTTCCTTTATTCCTGTGAGGTCTGTGGCATTGAATGTTGTTATACTATATCTGTAGGAGCGATATTCATCTTGACTTCAACTTGAGTAAACAAAGAAGCGAGCAGGTGAGGGAGAGCGACTGCGGAGCTGTAAAACCCCCACCAGGCAGAGAACATTATTTTATTTAGATATTTTATTTGTTTATTTATTTTTCTTCAGTAGGTAGGCTGTGATCTTGTCAGGTTTGATGTCAAGTGTTTTAAAGGGGTCCTATTATGCTTTTTCACTTTTTTAATTTGAGTCAGTGTGTAGTGTGTATGTTTGGGCATAAAAAAGATCTAGAAAGTTACAAATCTCAAAGTCCACCCCAAAGGGAGATATTTCGTTTTTAAAAAATCCCTTTTCAAGAACTACAACAAACGGCTCGTTTGGACTACATCGTTGGTTTCCGGGCTTTGTGATGTCACAAAGCGGCTCATTAGAATATCATTAAAATAATTCCCGCCTACAGAAATTTGAATGGTTGGGGAGTGGGGAGGGGTGAATTTGTGGTTAGAACGCTTGGTTGAGTGCATCAGACAAGAAGACGAAGACGACGATGAAGAAGAAGTGCTGCTGCAGAGCAGTGCATCAGAGAAAATGAAGAAGAAGAAGAGATGCTGTGCTGTAGCGTCAAATTTTCGGCATGTCTAGAACAATTCTTACAAGTACAACACGACGTAGCTGGGTGCCGCGGACAGAGGCCGAACAGCGCCGCCAGTGTGCGTACACTCATAGAAAACAATGTATTTGAATTTTAAAGACATGGCGCGACGCGACGCTGCGCTTCTCATCCGGTGTGCGACCGCCTGAAATGCTGTTTTTTTCACCTCCGTGACAAAGACGTTTGGGCTTCCGAAAGCGGATGATGTCAGGAAACAATGGTTGCAATTTTTTTTAACTCTGTTCCTGAGCATTTAATAATGGCAATTATGTGAAAAATAATGTGTTTTTCAAACCACCAAGCATGAGAGCATGTTCTAGTACACCCCGAAAACAAAATCAAGACTTTGTAAAAGAGGCATCCCTATAGAAATTGCCATGGTATTAAAAAAAATAAATTAATAATAATAAGTAATTGTGAATTTTTATGTCACAATTCAGATTTTGTATTATTGTTTTCACAGTTCTAAGTTTATATCTCATAATTTTACCTTTTTATTTTGATTTTAAATAATAAAAAAGGTAACTGCAACTTTTTTTTTCACAATTCTGTTTATATCTCTCAGTTATACGACGGCGTTTTAGTGCCACTTTAAAAAAATAAATAACATCTAAGATTACGAGATTAAAGTCGTAATATTTCAAGAATAAAGTCGAAATTACAAGAATAAAGTCGAAATACTACGAGAATAAAGTAGAAATATTGCGAGAATAAAGTCGAAATGTTTCAAGAATAAAGTCGAAATGTTTTGAGAATAAAGTTGAAATGTTTCGAGAATAATGTCAAAATATTACGAGAATAAAGTCGAAATGTTTCAAGAATAAAGATTAAAGTATGTAACACAGTTCGTAGTTCGGGAAGAAGGAGGCGGGAACCGGCGTACGTTCAAACAAAACTTTAATAATAAAATAAACACAAAATAGCGCGACATTCCCTCGCGGATGACTGTCGCACACAAACAGAACCAAAACACAAAATAAAATCCAGGCCTGGTCCTCTCTCATCTTTCACTGTTGTAGCTCCTCCTTTTATCCTTCCGGAGCTCCTCCGTGGGACTCGAGACCGGTGAGTGGTGCAGGTGTCGCTCATTATCAATTACTCCACCGGCCTCGCTCCGTTCCCACGGCTCTCGGCCCCGCCCCCACGGCTCTCGGCCCCGCCCCCACTCGTCACAAAGTTATAATATTATGAGAGTATATTCTAGCCTTTTGCACATGCAAATGGCCCGCATTGGGAGCACCGGGAGATATTCCAAAGTCTCAGCTTTCAAAATCCGTCAGTTTTATAGCGAAATACAAACAATATATTACAATAATGTGTTTTTTTCACGCTCTTTAATGTAGCGTGACAGATCGCTTTTTCAGTTTAAGCGGCATGTGAGTCTTTCCGATTACAATAGCCTAATGAGACATTATTTTCATTATAAATGAAGCTATAGGCCTACTGTTTTTCATGCCTTCTGATGTTCCTTCACTTTTATATCTTGCTATAAACTTGAAATAAAGAGGAAAACACATTTATAATTTGTATTTCGTGATAAAACTGACAGAATTAGAAATCTGAGCTGTGTTATTAAAAGCAACAAAGCACAAAATTAATGTGATTACTGGGTGGCTGGCGTGCTACAAATAATGAATGGAAGACATTAAATATTATGTCCAATAATTTACTGTATTATACCATGAATAAAACAGCTTGTGAATAGCTACTTACATGTTGTATCCTACAGGCTACCTCAGAAAAGAAAACAATATAACTTATGTTAACGAGTTGGAGTCCACTTCAACCTTTAGAACGTTTTATTAATTAAATAGGCTACATGTGAGGAATGAAAGTTTGGACGCTACAGCACAGACATTTTTGCGGAGTAGGTGGTGGAATTTTCACAAATTTGAAATTTTGGAATTTTCACAAAGAAAATATAAGGTACTTTCATTAATTGATTCACATAAATACAGTGATCTGATCATTAAAGAGCTTGAAAAACACATTATTATAAGACACATAATTTGTGTTTCGCTACAAAACCGATTTTGAAAGCTGAGGTTTTGTTTTATATTAAAAGTAGGCTGCCAAAAGCACAAATCTTATAGCTATTGGGTGGCTGGAGCACTGCAAATAACGAATGCAATGGACGACATGAAATATTATTTCCAAGCACACTGTCCCCGCAAGTGTGACACATGGTATGAATTCTGCTAATAATCCCACATTTATTTGTAGTGTATTAAAAAATGGTTAAATAAGAGAGCTACAGCGCCCCCCAGAGGAATGTTGATTGGGTGTATTAACTGATGTTAAGATAAAAAATTGTTCCTGTTCAGTCTGTTAATAAATATAACATTCTTGATATTAAGCTGTTTCCGCGAGTCCTTAAAATTGACTCTTACTTATCCCAGTAAGATGATATTCAAATACAATATTCAAATTCCGGTGGCCTGGCAACTTCTCCCGGTGATCTCAATCCAGGCAATTTGCATGCGTAATAGGCTATACTCAAAATATTATAACTTTAATTTCTGCGATTTAAATTCTTGAAACATTTCGACTTTATTCTCGTAATATTTCAACTTTATTCTTGTAATATTTCGACTTTATTCTTGTAGTATTTCGACTTTATTCTCGAAACATTTCGACTTTATTCTCGTAGTATTTTGACTTTATTTTCGTGGTGTTTTGACTGTATTCTCGTAGTGTTTTGACTTTATTCTCGTGGTGTTTTGACTTTATTCTCGTAGTATTTTGACTTTATTCTCGTGGTGTTTTGACTTTATTCTCATAGTATTTTGACTTTATTCTCGTAGTGTTTTGACTTTATTCTCGTAGTGTTTTGACTT